AAAGGCCCTTAAAAAAAAAAAAAACCCTAAACCGTTCTGCTTAAGACGCCCCGCCGTGTAAAGTCTCCCCTACGCCCCTATAGACCTGGAAGGAGGGGACTGAACAGTTCGACCTTCTCGTAGCCTTGCTGGTCAAGGCGCTCCAGGACAGGGTTTAGGGTTTAGGGTTTAGGGTTTAGGGTTTAGGGGCAGTGTTCGGCTTTAATGTAGGGGGCCCTAATACTATACTATAGTTTTAATAAGGAAACCCCCCAAAACCCTATTCCGATTATGAAGGCCCTTATATTAGGCTTTAGGGCATAGGTTGCAGGGTTTGAAGTGTATGCTTTGAGTGGTTAATCCTAAACCCGGAACCACCCTCAACAAGGATTTCAGGCATTGTTCAACCCTCGACCCTATGTCTTCAATAAACGGAAGTTATACGTCTTCAATTAGTGGGAGTTATCATCAGGCTATTTTTTTTGTATTCCGCCGGATGAGAGTAGGTTCTCACAAGATTCGACTCATTCAGAACATGCAGTTAGTATAGTATAGCAGAATATAACATAATAAAAATAATGCAAGATAACGAATATGACATAATATTTGTGTAGTAGAGTCGAAAAGAGCAGTAGTATAATTTTGCAGAATCGAAAAGACTATTATAATCCAATATCGTATGTTATAATCCAAAATGACATGATATAAGCATGCAATATCAAATAATACTACAAAGTAGATAATATGAAATATAGCAGAGTAAAATACAGTTTTTTATACCACACTAAAAGATGCTATAATTTAACACAGTTGAATATATCATAACATAGCATGATACTAAATAGCATGCAACATGCAGCACAGCAGAATAGAATATACTGCAATAGGTATGAATATATGCTTTTACAAAGTAAAATGTCGTTTTCATAATGCAACATGATATGGTATACTTCAATACAACATAACATAAGATAGCATGTCATCATATAATATTGCACAATATGACATGTTTTGATCTAAACAAGTATAATACTGCGCTGTAATATCACATTACATTTTGTTCTACTATGTTTCGCTCTATATGTGTACGAAAGACACAGTTATGGTGCAATGGTCGGTTTTCTAAAATGATGACATAGTATAATAATATACTAGAATGTCATTTTGTAAAATTTAGTATATCATAATCCAACGAACCATTAAACACTATCGTTATATATTTTTTGGTATATGTTGTAAACCAATAGGGTTCAATACGTAAGGCTGGGTTGTCTTGGTCTTTCCGGCTCAAGTTGTTGTGACCCTTGAAGCTTGCTAAACAGAGCCTTCGGCTTATAGGAGGCTGTCATAATTCGTGATTCATGATAGACAACACAATATGGTATAACATGTATATATATATATATGTTATATAACATCTAACTTAGGTTTTGCCACGCTGTTGTACAGTAGGGTGTTTCAACATGAAACCATGACCGTTTGCAGGATGCCAATGCTTCAGACGCAACGGTCCTGGACCAGCGTCTTTCCCTCGAAGCTTACTCAGCCAATTACAGAACCTGTTTTTTTTGGCCGTTTTGTATATGGAATAAAGTTGAAATCCCTATCAGATCCTCTCAAGCACGCTTAGTGTCTGTGAGGCGACATAGAACCCTATCACAAGGCTTGTATCACCCACCTTGGCAAAGACTGAAGCACCATCAATCCTATGAAGTACTAATCTGGACAAATCCATGCCCAAACCCTTACGCCACTCCTGCTTTGAAAATCACCTTTAGTCTCCATTGTAGTTCCTTTTTTGGTTTAACCAATTATATATTAAGGATTCTATAAGGTATCCCCAAAAAGGAACTACAATGGAGCCTATAGGCAAGAAGCAAAGGAAGATCCTTTTGCTGTTTGCTTGGAAGCTTTTGGGGCACAGCGCTTCCTAGAGAAGACAGGTGCCTGGGCCGGCAGACTCGATGGCTTTTTTGATGTAGGAGGAGAAAGGTTTCAGGTTGGTGCTTCGAGCTTTAGGGTATAGGAGGAGGCGGAGGAGGAGGAAGAGAAAGAGGTGGCGGAGGAGGAAGAGGAGGAGGAGGAGTCGTGATGGTCAGTAGAACAATGTCATTGGTGAGGCTGTCGTCGTTGTAGCAGAAGCAGGTCACAGTCATCTCATCATGTGTGTTGGTATCAGTTCTGCAGTACAAAGGCTTATACGTCAAAAAGGGATGATTTCGAGTCGGGTCCTAAATCTTACACTAAACCCTTTTAATGTCCACCCCAAACCCTAAACCCCTAAACCTAATACCCTAGGCCCTAAACCCTAAACCTCAACCCCCAAACTGAAACCCAAGCATGCCAGGCATGCCACCCTACTACGTCTACGACTTCAAGATGCAGGCGATGGACTGTTTCGCTCATGGCGGAGCCTATGCCACGGTGAAGCTCGGCTTTAGCACCGTGAGTTCACATGGGTAGTTCTCGAAATTAGGGTCCCTCTTTAAGTCCCCAATATAGTACGGCACCCTTATAAAGAGGACCCTAAAAGGTATCCTAATTTAGACAACGACCTACATGATTCTGCTTGGCCAGGCTCAAGTACTCTCCGGTGCTTACTTGTCTACTTTGCACACTTTCGTGCAGGTAGTTTGGCAGACATGACCTACTTAGACTGGTCTGTAGCCCACCTGTTCGGTCGTTTTTGGGAGGACAATATTACATTTTCAAGAGTTCAATGATGCTAAAGTCCCATGTGCGAAGTTCCCTGCTGATTGTTGGCTTGTTGGCACGGTCTCAAATCGGATCCAGGAGTTCTGCGTGCAGCAGACTGAACTGTGACTCTCTCTTCTAGTGCACGATCAGCATGGGCTCGAACACGATTGGTACTCTTCGTTTTGAACAGAGCGCCTTCCATTCTGTGCAAAGCGGTGTCAAGCAGACACCCGAAGCGCTAAAGGCCCAAGCATCTTTTAACCCTATAAGCCGCGCAACCCCTAAACCCTAAACCTGGCCCTAAGCCGCAGACACCATCAAATCCTCTCGCCAGAGCTAAGGGAGACAGGCTTAAAATCGTGGCTCGCTTCGCCGAGGAATGTCGTGCAAGAAGAAACTTGACTCAAGTCCATGAGCCCCCTTTGTTTCGGGGCCTTAATCGTTGGAGTGTTTTGGGTATGTGTTCGTCCAAGTAAACCCTAAACCCTATAAGCCCTAAACCGTAAGTGTATAAGGATTAATTTCGCCGACAGAGTGGATGAAAGCTGTTTTTCGTTTCGGGAGGCCTTCGCCTGTCAAGAGCAAAGACGCCATCATCCCCACCACTTAGCCCGCAAACTCTAAACCCAGGAGGAGGCAATCAAGCAGGAGCTCAAGAAACTGGGCCTGGATGCAATGACCTTTTTGGAAGTCTTTGGCGTCTGTGTGCCAGATGTCTGTCGGCACAACATTACGGCCCTGGCATGGCACTATGTGATCCTCGGCTTGTTAGGGTTTTGGGGTTTAGGGTTTATAGGTTTGAACCCGACTGTCGGCTGCTCTTCCCTTAGCATCTGGCGATAGATCCTCTCGGTTTCGAGTCAGAAACCCTAAGCCTCTCGAGCCGACTCCACCATTCCGATGAAATGTGGCTATTTTAAGAACAACCAGCGAAGTGCACAATTCGGAGTAGCACGAAGACGGCCAAGAAGACGACGCGCACGAAATTCCAAGCAGTGCTAGTGCTACTTGGAGCACCAAGATTACACAGAACAGAATGCTGTCAGCCAAACTCGTACTGGATGACATCAACCAGCAACGTTTCTTGTAGCGACTGGTTCTGCTGAACATGCGAGAAAACATGATCAAATGTAATGTCACCAACAGGACAGGCAAGCAGTACCAAACCGTCCTTCCCAAGCTGTCAATCTCAGTCCTAAACCATAAAAGCCCTACACCCCACGCATGCACCCCCGAACAGCACATAAAATACCTAAACGTTACGCACGAGAAGCCCCTGCATGCCCACGTTCATGAAGAGCCTAGGATGGACCACCAGATGTTTCGGTCCAGCTTCTGGCAGGTGCCCCCTGTACCCCGTCGGGCGCGTATTCGCCGGTTTTTCAGAAACCGGACGTTTTTTGCGCCAGATGCCGGAGTGAGAAGCGAGAAAAGAATGGCGTTACGGTTTGAGGTTTGGGGCATTGGGTTTGGAATACTGTTAATCAGGGTTGGGGGCTTGGGGTTCAATGTTTGGGGCATGGTTCGCGTTGGGAGCGTGGCGTGGGGCATGGGCTCTGGCCCCTCGTCTCAGGCTGGTATATAGCCGTATAAAGAAGACAGGGGCGCTACTCCATCTTGTGCGATCATTGATTGGGGCTTTGAGCTAACACTTGAGACTACGCTTCCGCAGCAGAAGCACCCTAAACCCTAAAACAGCACCTCACCCGGAGCCTTACACTTCCTAACGCAGTCATCATCCCAGTCTACTTCTATGGCAACCCTTATGGATGGGGATTGTGTAGCAGCAGATACGGTCACATTATGTCGTCGGGGTCCCTAACCTGGCAGCCTGAACAAAACAATATCCCTGCATAGCCCCACCAATGTTAGACTATGCCCAACACCATCATCGACCTCACAGACCCCCTTAGTTACTTTTCTAAAAACAATACCTTCAACGGTAGTTTAATCGTTTTGCTTAGTATTTTGTTGATGCTCCTGATTCCCTACGTACTTGAGCTTTTCGTTTTGACATGCTGCGGACGATGGTTTTGGCAGTTGCTTTTGTGTTTCGGATTTAGAGTCGTGTTGTGTTTTTGTCTAGTTCAGAGTTCAGGGGTTCTTTGCAGATGATGCGGGTTTGTTTTGCAGGGGCTTCCTGAGCAAATCAGCTTCTTGTGCTCTTTCGATGAGTGCTTTCCATCCGAGATGCACATCGCAAGGAGCTCGACCCACGTCTTGGGATATCCGATATTATCGGTTCATGGGGGCTGGGTTTACGGTTTCATACCGGAATAGTTTAGTTTAGACGCCGTGGTCTTCTATGCGCCATCCTACCTATACCGCCTTGGAGTAAGGTAGAGGGCAGCTTCTGCCCCCACAGCCGCAGAGGGTTGTATTCATGGATGTCCCGTGTTTAGAAAGGTTCAGGGTTTACGAGTCTAACATAGGGCCGTAATAGTCACGTGAGCGAGGCAGAGCAACACAAATCAAAGCGCACATGTGCTGCAAGGCCTGGGAGCCAGTCAGTTTAGGGTTTAGGGGTTTAGGGGTTTAGGGCTTTTAGGGTTTAGGTTTCAGGGTTTAGGGTTTAGGGTTTATCCACCAAGTCGTTGAAGACGGGAAATATCACATCGACAGCTCGCACCCTAAACCCTAAACCCTAAACCCTAAACCCTAAACCCTAAACCCTAAGCTGCTAGCATCCCTTTGAGGATCTGGCACGGCGCTTGGAGGAGTCCGAGAGACATCGGCTGAGTCGTGAGGCTCTCTGCCTAGCTTCTTGGGGTTCAGAGTTTAGGGGATTATTGAGGATTCGGATTTCGACGTAGGGTCGGATTTTGCGGTGAGGTTCCCGGGCTCTAAACACCAATCCCCTGCAACAAATAAACCCACCGAATCCCTAGATCCCAGCCCTAAGTCCCTTCATCTACAAATCCGACGCCCGAAAATTTCTTATTTTCCTTTCGGACGGTCCGGCCAAGAACCCTGGAAATAAGAACATCAGGGCTGGATTTCTGACTTTTCCTTTTCGCGCGGTACTTACTCACTGCTGACCCTTTGAACCTGAAGCGCTAAATCCCTAAGCTTCAAGCTTCAAGGTGCAGTAGGGTGTTTAGGGCTTATGGTCTTGCTTTTCTGGGTTTTGGGACGGCTTTTCGGAAACTGAATCTAGGAATTTGGTTTCGCCCCTTAATTTCTTAGCTGCCGCGTGGGGCGGGGGGGTTCTCGCATAGCAAATGTTCGCCCAAAGGGAGCCCCAGGCTTTCTGAAATAATTTCCTATACCTTAAGAACCCAAAACCTACTTTTTTTTGTAGGGTCCCTATAAATCCCATTTTAGGCTTTATAATAAGAACCTACAAAACAGTGGGTTTTGGGTTCTTAAGGTACTGTTCTGGGGGTTCCGTATTAGAAGTAAAGTATACTGGGCCCCAAAACCCCTATACTGTTCTGGGGGTTCCTTATTAGAAGTAAAGTATACTGGGCTCCGAAACCCGATTCTAATCATTAAGGCCTCTACGTTTCTCAAGGTTTTCTTAAACAGTGCAGACACTGATTTTGATCGTTTTGCGCATGTACTCAGAATTGGAGTTTGAGAAGGTTCGACTCCTTATAGCATGGAGAAGTCATGGTATGATGGGAAAGTGAAAGCTCCTGCGGCTTGCATGAATCCTGAACTCAGAACGGTCTTTCCTAGTCTGACTTCGTGGAGCCCAGGGGTAAGGGAGCTGAACATGAGGCAAACCAGACTAAACCCAGGCCTACTCCCAGGGCCTAAAGACCCAGTGCCCTCTACCGCCAACAAAGGGTTTAGGGTTTGGGGTTTGGTTTAGGGTTCAGTGTTTAGGGTTTAGGGTTTCGCAAGCCCGCGCACAATCCCTGAAACCTTCAATCGCACGGTGGTCGGCATGCTTAGAACGAGTATGCCCTTCAAGACCCTATAGAGTCATGCCGAAATATATGCCAAGACCCTGATTTACCGCCCCAATATGTAAACCCGGCACAGCTTTCTACAGCCCTCATTTCAGAACCCTTGTCTAGAACTTGTGCAAGAATGCTCATTAAAGAACCTTTCTACAGGTAGATCACTTAAAAAGGCCCTCTGCAGGAATCTAGTCTAGCATTTTATGGCCCCTAATGTAGAGGTACTTACACTATTCCCTAGAGTTCCTTCTTGTAAGTATACTATAAAGGAGCCCAAAACCCTATTGAAATTAGTAAGGCCCCTATCTTACATTCAATACCAAGTGCACAGGCCGAGCCAGTGCCCCAGGTGCGCCCTTTTGCGGATCGGGTGCCGGGACGGGGTGGCAGGTTCAGGGTTGCGGCTTTGGGGTTTAGGTTCTTGGATTTAGGATTTTAGGGCTTCAGGTCTAAGATCTCGGGCTTAGGGTTGGGGCTTTGGGGTTTAGGATATGGGGTGCTTACGGCCTAGTTCACGATTTAGGGTTTTTGGTTTTGAGCAGTTGTTAAACTTGAAGGAAAGCAGAGAACCGGTTTAGGACATCCTTTAAAGAAAATACTACTGTACTTATGGTTCAGGCCGCTGATGTTAGGCTCTTCTGCAGGCGTGGGATTGTGGAGCGGGGACAAGCCGGCCCCAAAAGCACTGAAACCCTAACCCCTAAACCCCTCAACCCCTAAACCCCTAAACCCCTAAACCCTAAACCCTAAACCCTCAGCGCCCCTTTACGCCTTAAGCCCGAAGGCCCTAAAACCTCGGGTTTCCAAGGGTAGTTTCGACAAAACTAGGCAGACTTTGCTGTTTGTTTAGGGTCTTCTGTTTTCATGGGTGGTTGTCAAAATTATGGTCCCTTTTTGGGTCCTTATTATAATACGGCACCTATTATTTAGGGTATCCCAAAAGGGACCATAATTTTGACAACTACCCTCATGGCTACAGGTCCCTAGTCCCTAGCTGGCGAGATGAGGGCGGAGGTTCCACCCCCAAAGCCCTGAACCGTACATCGTAAGCGCTACTGTTGATGATATATATCCTGCATTACCTCAAGGACCCTAAACTATGGGAATTATGGCATATTATTCCTTATTACGGGTACTGCAAGATTTATATCACCTAACCTAAAAGTCAAGGTATCAAGTCTGGACGGAGTCTAGATCCTGCCTGCTGGGCGCAAACTGGTTCGGGTCAACGTCGAGGGTCGTTAGCATAACTAGCATAGAAATTACCCCTAACCCTCCAGGTACCTACTATATAATCGGGCCCTAGAAACCTCGAGTACCCTACATAGCAGGTACCTGGAGGGTTAGGGTTAAGGCTTCAAAATTGTGCTATTGGGCTCTCTGGGAACCCCTCGACCCTGAACTCTGAACCCTACAACCAAAAAGCCTCTGAACCAGGCCAGCTGCGTTATCTGCTTGGACAACTTGGCGAACCTAGTCACATTGCCATGCCCGGCATCCAAGACTTGCCTAGGGCGGGTTTAGGGGTACTATAAGATTGACGATAACTGACGGGACAACTAGAACTGTAAACGTTACTAGAGGGTTTCGGGGTGGAAGGTCTGAACTAGGTCTAGGCCTTTTGGCATGTCAGGCTCTTGGGTTCTAGGCCTTCAGGTTAGATGTTCACGGTGCAATGTTGAAGGCTTTGGGCGTAGGGTTCGGAGCTTTTCGTAGCTTAAAGTGTGGCGATGTATGGGGATGGCTGATCACATACCGAGGAGTTAGGTCGGTCTGTACTCCTAAGACGGACTTCGGTCATGGGCTTCTTTTCAGGATTTTGGTTTAGGGTCAAAGTCTTCTCGTCAAAGAACAGATATCTCCGACTGGAAAATTCTGGAACCGGTTGCGGCTCGGGGCTTGGAACGCCTAACCTGTCTTCACTTTCAGAAATATTTTGTGAGAGTGAGACTTTGCAAAGCCCTAAACAAGCTTAGGACAAACGCATACTGACCTCCTAGAGCTGATTGAACTTAGGTCTCCAATACCCGACGTGCTTTAAACTTTTTGGGTTCTTGTAATTTAGTAGTAATCTGAAAGTTTAAGCTTTTATTTCGTGGCTTATTGGGGAAGTAAGTGAAGTACGAGCTAGGATTTAATCAGGGGTCTAGGGCTTACCGTAAATTCTAGGTGTGTGGGCTAGGGCTGAGGGTTTCGGGTGGAAATCTTTCTTCTTATTTACTTGGCAAGGATAGCACCTCTGGGGTCTTGCAAGCAGCACACTCGGACGAGAGAGGTATCTCCACCAACCTATCACATTCGGCATGGCCCGCTTCTGCCGTTAATGTCTCCCGACCCATTCCAACTGCACGGCCAGATCGAAAACCTGCTAACTGCTAAGTATGCTGAAGAATCTCGTGTCATTATTCGTACCTATTTCTACCCGAAGTGCAAGCTAGCCTATACCCGAAAACCCTAAAGCGTATCAAACCTAAACTCTACGCCCATGTCCGCGTAGTAGATCAACCGAGGCAAGCACCTGGCAATGTGCACGCCAAGCGCCCAGAGTGGGTACTACAGGGGTCGGAATAACTTAGTTCTCCAATACCCAACCTTTAAACTCTTTGGGTTCTTATAATTTAGTAGTAACTTAGTAATCTGAATGTTTAACCTTTTATTTCGTGGCTTATTGAGGAAG